CGAGTTCGTCGTAAGGCTTATAACCTAAGGGATAAGATAATGGTCCTGGTTTAATTGGCTGCCCTATTAAGGGTCGAACTTAGAGCCTCTAGATTAATAATCTAATACTTATATACGAAGAGTCGAACATATATAATATAGAAAACAGATTTAATTAAGGTTAGGAAACATTAAGAATATCGTAATTAGGAAGTTATGGAATTAACGAAGACATTGAAAGCACGATGAGTAAGAAGACAATAATAGGGTTAGACCCTACACGGAACCTACCGAACATGGGTAGGAAGCGATAACCTATATGGCAGACTAAGAAAAAGGGACTATTGTAATGCGAACCTAGTATGACCTTATAAGGGGTAGGCTTGTACGGACTTAGATACACCGCCTAGGGCATGGCCTAACGAATAAAGGTTAACACTTTAGAAAGAAGGTCTCTATACACTATGGAATCCCTTATCTTAGGTGTTAGCGAGATTACAGTGGAGTTAATTAAAAGCGTAATATGTACGGCTCGAATGATTAGGTGGCTATTAGAGAGTCTTAAAGCTCGACTAATAGATGTTAAGTTCAAGAATAGGCGGTATTAAAGGGCGAGCAACGATGGTACACTATAGTGGGACGAAGCTTTGGAAAGGCCTAGACTACGTTGCTAGTTATGTTAAGATAATGATTAAGACATACTTAAGTATGAGGAGACAAAGGGGTATATCGGGAAGAAGGAAGGTATTACATTAGACATTACGATGTTGCCGAGAGATCTTACTCCGGTTAAGACCCGAGAAGACGTTAATCAACCTACCTAGTAAACGGTAATAACTACACCTTATACGACAAAGTGGTTTGGGGCATGTAGTATGTCTTCCCGGACGTTACTTAATACCCTAATCTGCGATTCGACGGGCGGGAAGCTACCTCTCACTTAAAAGGAGTCTATTGAATCTTTAAAGTGTATAGTTTAACCGAGGAAGGTATAGTTACGGAGTTGTTATACTAGACGAGGAATAAGATACTAGAAGAAAGAGTTAGGATTACGATCGACGGCTGTTTTACTTGGGCCACTTACGAAGCATCCTTTTTATACGCCTTCCGTATTAGGGATTCTAAGCAAGGCAGGTCTGTGGTAGACAAGATTAGAGACCTCGAGAGAGGACTAGTATTACAAGGTGCACTTAAAGTATATAACTATGTTCTTGATCACGAGACACGTGTGTTAAAACTTAAGAAGCTAGGCAAGGAGCTTATAGAATTGGACAAGACCCGTGGGCTGCTCGAAAGACTATATGCGGAAGTGCTTAAACAGCTACTTAGCCTTTCGGGGAATGCCCAAGAGTACGAAGGACTTTTCTCACTCTCGTATAAAGAGGCTGGTATTTTAATCAAGAGGTGGGCTATTACGGAAGTTAACATGGTTAAGCATATGGAGCGATTTTAACACCGCTTATTACTCGGAGATAACGAGCGAATCTTACCTTCCGCGACGAATTCACGGCTAGTTACCATTCTAGTAACGTTACTAGCGAAAGGCCCCGACATGATAAATGCCCTAACGTAACAGATTTAAGACTTACGCATTAAACTACTTAACATATAGAAAAGTGTACTAGAGAGGCGCCAAATTAATAGTCATCCTAGGCCTAACCTTACCTAGTACAATCCTGGACTTAATGCTTAAGTTAACTCGATCGACATGATATATTTAGAAGTAAGCGATAACTATTACCGACCGAACAACTCGTACGGTCGTAATTAGTATAATAACAACTAACCCTATGGATATAGTGGTCGTAAAGGTGTGTTAACTAGTAGAGGTCGAGGAAATGGCTATAACGCTAGCTTCGGAGGGGGAGCCGGGCGTTCGCGTGGCCCGATCGTATGCCACTTTTGTCGACTCGAAGGCCATGTCGTAAAGGATTGTAACGAAAGGCGAAATGTGTACGATTTCAACTTTTTACGGTACGATTTTGACCGTTATGAATATGTGTTTGGTGGTGAACACAGGATAGTATTAGACATCTACCTTCCAAAATGGGCACATAGAAAGGCGGACGAGAATGGGGTACCGATTACGAAAGTAGTTACCGAATGGGTATTAGCCAACCAAGATGGCCTACCCGAGATCATGATTAAAAGGGCCAAATACATAAAGTCGAAATACGACGTGGGTCTTACGATCGACCCTACCCGAGAAGAGTTCGAACGTGTAACACTTACTTATTAACGGATAATTCTGACTCGTTAACAACATGTAAGCCAGCCTAATTAAAAGCTGGCCCAGACCTTACTACCTGGGAGACTGAAATTAATCACATTTCGGTAATTAACAACACCGGTAGTACTATTTATAGTTAGTAAGAGGTGGCTAAAGATTTCTAATGGCTCGCACTTATCCGAACTCGAGACTATACGGAAGTCCTTATTACTAGCCCTAAAGCTGGTATAAACTATGACCTTGACATAATTAAGGTCTTAGCACTAAGTGTAAAGAGACGCCGTGTTATAGAAGTTAATAATAGAGATAAGGAAGTCATGTTTAATGTCTCCTAAGAAGAGCCCTAAAACGTGACGGCAACGAAAACTACTCATGCTTTAACTAGTGTAAAGACCCTTACGGTGTAAAGAGACTTACCTAATGGTAATAATTAGAAAGAGAACGTTGTTACTACCAGACATAAGCTGTCTAATCCGTAAGACATTGTAATAAATGCCTTTTGGATAAAGAGGATTAAGAGAACATAAAGAAGGACTTCAAAGTTACTTAGGACGAGCTTGCCAAGTTTAGTCCTGAGTTTGCGAGCGGACTCAAACAATCGGTAACTAGGAAGGAGTCAGTGTTAAACCCAGTTTACCGAGAAACGCTCTTCCTAGAAAACCCCGCGTTAGAAGAGAAAAAGAAGACAAGAAGTAACGGAAAGGTGCCCCTTCTTAATGTTAACTCCCTTGAAATGCCCTTACTTATTACGGTAGACATTGACTAACTGATTAAAAGAGCATTTAGTCGAATGTAATCGAAATCTACGGGCAATGGACGGAAGGAGACGCCGTAGTTACGGAACTTAAAGTTAACTCCGTCCAAGTCACTAACTTTATCTGCCCCTTATCTCGGCTGGCTATAAGAATTGGACCGATAGGTCTTAAGTCTCTAATTACCGGTGTTATTAACATAAGTGCAGAAATCTCTATTATACACCTTTCGTACGTAATCTAACATGGTATTCTTATAAGAAAGTGTAGCCTCGAAGTTCAGAGTTATAAGACCGGAGCGTTAGCTGTTATTTATGGCATGATAAAGACTTAAGTATGGTTGGTAAGACGGTTTATTACGCTACTTATTTATGTCGTCTAAGATTATGTCTCTAAGAATCCTTTAATCTTAGGGATAAACTTTATCTAAATGGTACGGATAAGCTTCGTCTTTTAAGAAGATATAATTATAAGGTATATGTTGTTCGGCGAAAGTATAATCGTAGTCCCGATTAACAACTTGTCGAGCACGAGGAAAGTGGTTAAGGGCCGTTTAAGTAGCCCTCTTACTCCGGGAAACTAAGTGCTAATAGAATCGACCGGTTTATTAGCCATTATAAGTTAAAACCATCGCCTTAGATACATAACATCCGTTTAATACCAAGAGTATGTCTTGATTAATACCAGTATATGAAATATCTAGGGATGGAAGTATATATAATTAAGATGGTTAAAGTAAGGGCGACCTATACCGAGGGGCTTATAGTGCTAACGGACACGATTCGGGATGTTAAGGCGGAGTTAATAACAAGGGACGAGGTTATTAGGGAGTTTTCTAATTAAGAACTAGTAATACTAGTTTAATCGTTATTCATAGTAGAAAACGAGACCTTAACGCGGCTTAGGCAGGCCTAGGTTAACACCATGTATAAGCCAAAGTTAAGGAAGGTATAACCTGTGGACGATTATCTAAGCGATAGATTTGTACCATTAGGGGCAAGTGATTAGAGGGAGCACGAATGGAAAAAGGCGTGCCTTACTATGGAAGATTAGGACCCGGAGGGTCCGTTATCTTAAGTAACTCTTAAGTGGTTAGCTATAACAAGAGGCACTCGCCTTACGAAAGAACGTCTAGCCGACATTATAAAGGATGTAAACCTAAAGCTTAATAATTACGAGCGCGTTGTGTTTATTAAGATATTATATAGAAGAGAGGCCGCGTTAAGTTAGGAGTTCAAAGAAAACGGGAGGATTAAAGACATCGTCGCACTACTTTACTAAATACCGGTAATCCCTTATAAAGCTTGACAATCTAAGAACATCCCTATACTTAAAGCTCTTATGCTAAGAGTGGTAGAGCTATTAAAACTACGGAAGGAGGCCGGAGTTGTCGAACAAGTTATGGGGCGTATAAGAATGTTTAGTTTCTTATTATTAAGAAGGACGGAGGCTTACGGCTAATTAACTTAGCTATAAAGGCGAACGCTATTACCCTTCGCGATATAAGATCCCTTAACGACTGTGACGCCTTTGTAAAGAAAATAGCTGGGCGCATAATGGTAACCTTAGCGGACTTGTTCTCGGGGTATAATCAAGTTACCTTAGACCTTACGAGCAGGGACATCACCTCGTTTATAATACCGATCGGACTCTTACGTATGACCACGATACCCCAAGGCGCTATTAATTCGGTAGCGCACTTTTGTCGAGTATTTAGACGCATTTTGTACGACTTAGTTCCCGATGTCGCAAACTTCTTTGTCGATGACATTAGCATTATAAGATCGACAAGTCATTATGATTATAAAGAATGTTATCTAAATGTTAGGAAATAAGTCCTAGAACATTTACTAAACATTGACAAAGTATTTACTAACTACGAACTAATAGGAGCCACTATAAGTGGTGCGAAAACAGCGTGGTACCGAACATTAACCACTGTTATAAGCTATCTTTACGGTACTTATAAAAGGCAACCCGTTGGTAAGCTCGTGATTAAGATTATTAAATGGACGGATTATTATAACGTGTTAGATGTGCGGACATTTCTGGGTCTTATTGTATACTTTAAGTCTTTTGTGGAAGGATATATGATTATCTCCTTATTATTAACCCGGCTATTACGCAAAAACACACTATTCGTGTTCGGTGAACCGGAGAAAGCCGTTATACATATATTGAAAGATGCCTTGGCGTCTAAACCAGTACTGATTAGATTGGACTATACTAGTGGTAACGAGGTTATTCTAATAATAAACGCTAGCGGTTTAAGCTAGGGAGTAGTACTATGTTAACTCATTAATGGCGTTAAACGCCTAGTAAGGTACGAGAGTGGCTCTTAGAAAGGAGCAGAATTGACATACGACGTAATAAAACGAGAATGCCACGGGTTGCTTAAGGCCTTAAAGAGGCTAAGGAATTACTTATATAGTTTACATTTCGTTATTAAAACAAATGCGAAAGTCCTCGTTGCCTAGTTAAACGGAGCGTTATCGGACCTCCTTAGGGCTTTAATCACTAAGTGGTTAGCATGGATTAGTAACTTCGACTTCGAAGTACGTTATATACCGGGGAAGAAGCACACTACCGCCGATACATTGTCCCGGAAGCCCCTTAGACCTTTAGACTTAGATAACAAAACATGGGAAGGAGAAATCGACGACTTTATCGACGTAGAGCTTAACCTGATCAGTATTAACGTATTGAACGGTAACACGGATAGACCCTTAGATGGCACCTAGTTAGAGGAATCGCAGGATATAGCGCGATACTTGTTAACATTGGTATACCCTTTATAGACAAGGATTATAAAACAACGCAGGCGATTCTAAGCCAAAACCGCTAAATTCGTAATTAAATAGGACATCTTATAGCGAGTTTCTCGGAATAAAGCCATAATAAGAAGGGTCGTTAATAACCCGGACGACCGAAGGCAGCTAATCAAGAATGCGCATTTAGACAACGGATATAAAGGAAGAGACTCTACGTATAAACAGCTCGCCGGCTAATACTACTAGGTAGGGATATATACCTAAGTCTAGAACGAACTCCGGAAATGCGAGGGTTGTTAATTCTCTAGCTATATTAGATAAACTAATCCTTATTAATATAGTAAACTTATGTCCATTTTCGTAATATAGGTAATAAACGTTAAGTATATTAGATCCGATCGAGGATACATGGTCATTATAAAAGCCAGGTACGAATTCTCCAGATTCTTAGAAGCCAAGCCGTTAAAAATTATTAATTCTCGGGTAGTCAAGGAGTTTATCGAAAAGCAAATCGTATTTAAGTACGGAGTACTGATTATAATCAGAGCGGATAGAGGGTTAGAAAACAAAAAGGAAGTGGTTACATTTCTAACAAATATAGGCTCTAAGATTAAGATCGGTTCTGCTTATTATCCTTAGTCTTAGGGGATTAATGAGAACGGCCACCGATTAATAACACACTCTTTAATAACAACCACGAAAGGGAAGACTTCCGGATAAGTAACAAAGTTAAAATATGTCATTTTCGCTAATTAGATATTAGTTAGGCAAGAACGGGGTTCTTACCGTTTTACCTGGCTTACGGCTATAACCTAGTACTTCCGCTCGAGATAATAGTCTTAACTTGGCGAATCATGAGTTAGAATCTAAGTAACACATCTAAGGAACTACTTTCTTAACGAGCCCGTGTATTCCAAAGACTCGACCAAGACGTCACCAAGACAAAGGAATTAATCACGAAACATAGAAGGGAAGTAGCTAAGAGAGCAAATGCCAAAGGTGGGAGAAGAATGAGAAAATCACCCCTAGTACTAAACGACTTAATCTTACTTTACGATACACTAAGACACATTAACAAGTCTAGGGCAACCAAATTATTATATCATTAAATAGGCCCGTTTATAATTAAGAGCGTATCACCCAAGTTCTCTTATATATTCTAAGAAATTGATAGAGTAGAGCTAAATGGCTCATTTTCGGCAAATAGACTAAGGAAGTTCGTGAAAGATAAGGACGGCTTTTAAAAGGATGACGACCCTATAAACGACATATAGATGTTAAGGAAGTTTGGGACATTAAAGACCCCGAACACGAGGAGACTAATAAGAGAGTAGAGCACGAAGAGCATATAAGACAAGGACGTTCTAATAAAACGGCTTAATTAAAATATAAGGAAGTGTTAGATTAAGGCCAGTTAATAACGACTATCCTTAGTCTAATATATTCGTAGAACTTTAGTCGAAGTAAATAGTAAGAGCAAATAATAAGGTTTATTAATATATAATACGCTTACCTTTCCTTGTCATTTAATCTTTCTTATTATCATACATTATTATTACGTTATTATTAAAGCATCTCTAGCCTTACCATTACTAATTAAGAGTATCGTTGTTATTATTTAATACCGTTTCGCGTGTTTATCGCACGGTATGCTCACTCTTATTCTATACGCTAAATGCGTACTTGTCGTACTACTTAACGCTGCCAGCCCCTTTACCCCTAAACTTCTTATTTATAACAGCCATCAGGCTATATAAGTTCTATCCTTAGAACTTAATTAAAACTAGGCAAGTCTTCGAATCTAGATCAGATTACTTCCGTACGTTTATACGAGCGCGAAGAGAATCGAACTTGTCTTACTAAAATTCATAAGAAGTTTATACCCTTATTACGTAATTCTTATAAGCATAGTAGTTCATACTAAGGATCGATCGGCAACCGAAAGCATAATACATACCAGCCCGATTACCGTCCCTCCCCTTAACCTGCTCAGCCTGGCGAAACTTCACCTCGTAGTTTTTACAAGGGACCAAGTTATCTTTACCGTATAATTAAATGAAAAGCCCCGAGACCTTAAAAAACCGGTTCGCGATCTAACGAACAATCCGACTAAACGGCCCCCCGTTGTTAATCTCTATATATAAGGGCCGGGTGCGGTATTAATCAATGTACTTAAGGTGCTCTATAACTAGTCTAGAAGCACGAACAGCTATCTAGAAGTCAGTGGAGTTAATAGACCACTGTAAGTATTAGTCCTTACTAAGGCCTCCGACGACACTAATAGTCATGAGTTGTAACATCTACTACCCGATTAGTGTCGAACCAGCCAATAATTAAAATGAGTAACATACCTTGTTAACGCACGGATTAGTACGGGGATCGTCGGTCGTATCGTCTAACTAAAGGCGGATAAACCCAGCCGTCGTGGAAGGAAACTCGGGCAGAACGGAGACATAGTTAGAGAAGAAGGCTCCTCGATACGTACTAAAGAAGGTCGGGTAGTAAGGGCCAGCGATAACACGGAGTAAATAGGTTACCTTCTAAGTTAAGAATCTCGGGAACATGTTCACGGACTGGTGTTGCCCGGTACGTTGACGACTTAACAAAAGGAAGGGGTCGATCGAAGTAAGGGGTAACTTGTCGGCTAGAGGCTGGGTTCTGATTATAACTAGAGGTAAGGGAGGAATAGTAGGAATCTGTCCGGAACTCTGTATACGCGAGGAGAATCGCATGCGTAGCATTAGACTCGGATCTCTACGTAGTTAATAGGTATACTAACGAACGTTTGCTTCGAACAATATAGCTACTTAACTAAGAGGCTGAGAATTGCGCATATACCTACCTTAATAAGGACTAATAAGGTGAGGGATAACCAATTATATCTAAGTCTATTCGCGACGCTAGAAAGTATACTCTAAACGTGCTAACTAATGGTAAACATTATTAGGACAACTACGGTGGTTATATATACGGCCGTCGGGAAGCTAATTACTAGCAATAAGGTTAGCCGGCTTCTTATCTTCGTTAAATGCCATGATTAATAATAATCAGAAGTTCGCTTATAATGTAGTTATAAGAAAGAGTAAGAAGGATAGCTAGGGAAGTTAGCTAGGAAGTTATTAGGAAGTTTGTTAGCAGAGTTAAAGAGAGGAAGAAGTTATAAACAAGTGGGGTGACTTATAAGAGAGGTGGCGAAAATACAGATTCGTGCCTTCCCTTAAACAATATACCCCTCTTTAGACGACTTTCTCAGATTGCCTATACTAAGTTAAGCATGGCACTTAACTAATCACGATCTTTAACTCCTTTAATAACCTTTAAATTAACGTTTAGTTGCCCTAAAGCTATACACTCTAAATTAGAAGCCCGTATCGTCCTTTAATCCCTTTACCTAACTTATACCACGATAACGAACAAGGCGCTGCCCTAACTACGATTTGTTCAAGCTTCTAATTATCACAAATAGAAGGGAGTATCAAACACTATACTTGCTTAGAACATCACCCTACCACCACTACCATTTTTCACCTCCCCGTTACTATAAGTACTATACCCAAGCTGCCACTATGAGCTCCGAAAGGTATGGCCTTAGGAAGCGTGCTATAAAAGCAGAACTTGAACGCAAGAAAAAGGCACTAAATACCAGTGCCTCTTCCTAATACATTGGCGAAGCTATACCTTATATCATGACAAACGGCGAGCTGACCAACTTGGTAAGCATAGTACATAGCGTAAGACCCCTAGAACGAAAAGAACTACCCCGGTATCCTAATTAAGATGCCTTATATAGTACTAGTACCGCGGACGATCTCCTTACACTAACAAACCTCTATAAAGCTTACCCTATCGATAGTATCGGTCGAAGATAGTAGCCTAAGCTTGTAATAACCAGCTATTACAACGCTATTACTAAGATTCTATAGGAAGAATGGCTCGATGACCTAGACATGGAGGTTATACTAAGTCTGATTATGATCGACTCTCCTAAAGACAGGTTTCGGGTAGAGACTATGACAAGGCTGTTCATATAAGTAGCGGTTGCTAAACACCTCGATGGGGAGACAAGAGACACCTTCGCACATGACGACAGCTACCTAGGTGAGATGTGGAAAGCCGAGATACCCTTTATTTTGTTCCCTAGTTGTATCCCGTTACTCCCTGACGGAACCCTCGCCAACTATTGGATCGGGATATTATATCACCGACCTACTAAGGTGATTATTATCATTAATTCCTTAGGGTTAGGGTTAGGGTTAGGGTTAGGGTTAGGGTTAGGGTTAGGGTTAGGGTTAGGGTTAGGGTTAGGGTTAGGGTTAGGGTTAGGGTTAGGGTTAGGGTTAGGGTTAGGGTTAGGGTTAGGGTTAGGGTTAGGTTAGGGTTAGGGTTAGGGTATCTCTC